GAAATATCAGCCTTCCTGCTCCTCTGATGCTGCTTGGCCTGCTGTGTTCATCCAGCTCTACACCCTGTTTTATCAAAGATCTTTCGGTAATGGTTTGGGAGTAGGAATATAAACCATTCAGGTAACTGCTGAGCTGTCACTAGAAATTAAAACAGTTAAGATTTAAAATACTGAAGGTAAACAAATGTACAATTCAAACAAAACAAATTACTGGAAAAACTCAGAGCTGGTAGAATCTGTGGAGAGAAAGCAGTTAGCTTTTTGGCTGCGGTGACCCATCTCCAGAACTCTACAGATGCTATCAGGCATGCTGAATTTTCCCAACAATTTATGTTTTTGTTTCAGATTTCCAGCAGCCACATCTCTTTGGGTTTTTTTTAAATAAACTGTCTACTTCAAACCTGTTATCCATGGGGGGATAGGGGCAGGAACTCCTGTGAGAATGTTCGTTGGGAGAATGGTACAGAGTATTGGATGGGCTACAAACAAAGAATTAAAGGTCACTCCTTATGAGAAAATAAAGGAGTTGACTGCTATAATCCCAGCTGATGGTAAAACCAGACACACCATATCCTAGAATAAAACTTGACAAGATAGATCTTGAGTCTCATTTTTTGCAATTGGTTACAGTGATGGTTCGTCACTGGACATGTTGACACAAGGCAGCCGATGTTATTTTAATGCAGAAATGTAAAAGAGAAGGGAATTCTGTTGAAAGATCCTGACATAAACACCAAAACCAATTTAATCTTTTCCCCAGCATTATCCTTTTCAAATGATCAATTCAAGAGAAATATTGCTCCAATTTTAACTTTGTAATTTCTTGCTTAACTGATTCTTCCTGGTCTTCCTTTATGTACTGCTGAAATAGTTTTAAGACCTCTTTCCAGTTTGGATGTTTTAAATTCCTTTTCCGTTTTGATAGCTAAGAGACTTCTACTGTGGTGGAGCTAAAGAAGAGTAATACTGGAATCGAAACATTAATTCTGTTTCTGTCACCTCAGATGTTGCCAGACTTGCTAGATTTCTCCAGCACTTTGTTTTTTTCTTTAAATTCCGCCAACTGTCTCAACCTAAAAATTCTACAAACCTTTCAAATTGCTGCTCTTCTACACTGAAAACTTTAGTCTTCTGCTCGGATGAAACACTTCTTCAAAAAACACGAAACTGAAGCTTGATTTTTCTGAACTGAACTCAAACTAAGCCTTTTAGTGTCTTCTGTACATTTTTTCCTTTACATCATAAACTCAGCAATCTAAACACTTCATCAATTTTCACACATGTCTGGTTAGGCACTTATTAAACTATGCTTTCTCATAAGTGATTAGATCACTTTTCCAGAAGAATTTCTGATTTCTTTGAAAAGATTTACCTTCACAAAGCTGAAACCAAAACCCATCTGTCTCTATTTTAAAAATCCAAATGATAATATAGATTACATACCTTTATTGCAAGTGGAGAAAAGTAAGCCAATGCCAAGAGAAACAAATAGTTCAGTAGTTCTGCTGGTTATATGACCTGAGGAAGCAAAAAATAGATCAAATAGCTGTATGCCAACAGAACAAGAATCAGTGAAGAAGACACAGTCCAGGATTAATTAGGAACTGATCATCTGAGTGTGAAATAATTGGAACTAAAAAAGAACTGAAGCTAGACAAAGCAGAGGATATAATGGAATCTTTGCAGAAATGATAAAAGGCCTTGGAGAGAATACAATAAATGAATTGATTAACTTGTGTAAAAGAAATAGTAAGAATGATTAGATGATGTTTCAAGGAGCACTTTAGAGAAGGCAAATACCATGATATGTGAAGAGCATTGCATTGTAACTTTGATTTTGTGCATCCAAGGCAACATTAAATATTTGGCATAGCTGAATAAGTGCCTAACCAGATCCTTGTGTGAAAATTGATGAAGT